TATATATATATGAGCGATCAAATGAAAACTGCTCTCATTTGTGTAAACCAATCTCATTCATCTATTTTCTTGATCAATGGTCAAAATTAGTTTAGGTTATATTAGAAAATTAAAAATAAAATAAACACTTATTTTATAATCCCAAAAAGGGCAAAATGGTAACTTTGGTAGTGGTAATATTAATGGCAACCATATCATGTATATCGTAATATTAATGAAACATATATCGTAATATTAATGAAACAAAATCATTTGTAAAATAATATATTAATTTTATGTTCAAATATTATAAAAAAATAACATCAATCATTAAAATAGATCAACAATAAAAATAAAACACACTATAATCAATTTAACATAATGAAACCTTTTGAATAATAATAAAAAAGAATTTACTACTACATTTCATGAACAAAATGGTTTAACAGTTTCATCAATACACAAATCAACGTAATGGTAGATGAAACATTTGTCATTTTCAAGTTTTCGGTAGATGTATCCGTTTCAATCTAATTATGAAATGGTTTCACTGTTTGCTAATTAAACAACATGTTCTTAACAATTATGAAATGGTTTCACTGTTTGCTAATGCTTGATGAGACATTTGTCATTTTCATGTCATTGGTAGAAGGATCCGTTTCATTGTGATAATGAAATTGTTTCACTGTTCGCTAATTACATAACATTTTCTTAACATTTTCTTAACATTTATGAAATGGTTTCACTTTCTTTATGCACCCATTTCATCGGCCAATTTTTTTCCAATTTGAACACTTTTAATAGAGTCAATGCATTTACCATTACATGGTTTTGTTAACCACCCAATTTGTACAAACCGTGAAAACCACCCTCATCCGTCGATTTCATTGTTTAATCTTATTAAATTTTTTCATGCAATTGTTTAATATAATACTTTTTTTTGATAAAGTTGTTTTATATATGATTATGAAATTTTAATGAAAATGTTTCATCTATTTCTCTAAAATTAAAATAATGAAGATGATAATATCAATGATTAACACTCTTCACAATAAAAATGATTAATCAACCTCTCATAATTACAAAAAAAAATGAACAAAATAAAAAATTATGGTCGATTGAATGAGGTTTGTACGGTTTACACAAATAAATGTGGTTTTCATTTGATCACTCATTTTATATATATATATATATATATATATATATATATATATATTTGACAAGATTGATAGATTTGGCATTAGGAGAAGGAATGGGAATAGGAGTGGTCTCGTGAGAAGAGAATGGAAAAGTTGAAGAAATAATTGAATTAGATGAAGGAGTTCCCAAGTGCATATCATATCATATGTCATACCATCCATTCTCCACCACACAAAATCATCAAATGTCTCTTTCTTTTCTCTACATACATTAATTGTATTTCACCTTTAATTACCATCTTTTTACCTCCATTGAACCCAATTTTACTTATTTATTATTTTGCAACTAAAATAGGCAAGTACAATGGTCATAAAGTATCATCCGGTAAAATGGTTATTAAGCACAATTTCTTATCAACTGTTTGCTCTTTTTTTTTTCTTTTTAATTTCATTAAGCACAATTAAATAAATAAGGGACCGTTTACAAAACACTTACTCGGTAAGCACTTACTGGTAAAATTTAACACTATCACTTACTTACCGGGTAAGACATTTGTCCACAAAAACGACATTGTATGCAACAATTTACCCGGTAAACGCTTACCATGATAAGAGTCGTAGCCCTCACTTACCAGGTAAGACTCTCGATCCTTGTCTCCCTCTTACCAAATAAGATTCTTGGTCCTTAATTACCATATTCATTCGGTAGGGTAATGTGACTTGCTATGCGCTAAGCGATTGGTAAACGGCCCCTAAGATTAGTTTATTAAAGAAGAAAAATTAACATGAGTTAAAATTTGAAACTTACATTTCATTCAATCCAAAGAAAAGAAAAATAAGAACCATATGGTGCTTACAATCGTTAATCAGTTACTACTATAATAAACAACATATATATTAACCAAGCCAAACCAAACCAAACCAAACCAAACCAAATCAATCAATCTACAGATGCTGGCTAGCTGTTGCTGTTGCTGCTTACAACCACCCATCAATCTCACATAATTAATTAAGAAAGTTAAAAAATTATTTAAACTAACTAGTCATGCACATGAACCCCTTGAATCTACTACTACTACATTAATGCCACTTGAAGAAGAACTCTTCTTCTTACCAACCTGATGAAACCTGCATAATTTCCTAATTACTCCCTTTCTCAAACTTAACCTTTCCAATATTCCCCTGTTACTATTACTATTACTATTACTTTCCTCCTCCTCTTCTTCTTTTGCTGATGATTCATTACATGATCCTACTATCGATTCACTCTTTCTTGGAAAGCTCCAAAACTTCTCTTTTTCATCACTTCCCACTCTGTTCAATGAGTTCTCACTGCTAAACGAACGAGAATGTTGTAATCTCCTCTCACCATATCCATTCTCTCTTTCATTCAGAGTTTTCACTACAAGGGTTTTCAGAAAGTTCATCACCTGAACTGCATGAATCAACGCAGTCAAAGGATCCGCCATCTGCATTCACATCACCAAAATATATCAACACAGCCACCCATGCATCTTCTTCATCAACCAAGAGCCACACTTTTGATTTTTTACATCACAAAATCAACACTTCAATTACCATTTGAAGTTGCAGTGTTGATTGCAAGCTTTTTAAGTTGGAAACCATATGAATTTAAAAACTGTATATATAATGTGATAACAACATACAATGATACAAATACAAGAGAAATGTTTATGTGTTGATTGTCAAACCTGAGTCATGTTGGGAGCAAACACCATAGCTATGTTTCTTGCGTTCATCTTGTTTTCAGATTCATACTTGACAACATCTGCCATTAAATTAATGGCCCAATTAAGAAGTGCAGCCTCAGTTTGAGGAAGGGACTTGACAAGCCTGCTACATTCCTCTTCTGTGTTGCAATGCATTACCTGCTCTGGGGTCAAAGAATCAAGAACACCCCTAGGAAGTTCTCTAAACCATGCCTGCACTTCCAAACATGAATCACTTTCAATTAGTATATATATAAATTAGTATGACTAATTAACTAATGGTGGTAATTGAAGTAAGTATGTACCTTAATCAAGCCAGCCAAACAATGCACATCTATCCCATGGGGGACAAACCCTCTGTTAAGTTGCTTCCTAACATCCTCCTCTTGACTGTTTTCTGCATTTATTCGAAATATCCCTTCTGCCTTCAACCATCATATAAAGCTTAATAAATTAACAGTGTCTGAATGATTGAAAATTGGGCAAGAAACATCATGCATATAAGGGTTTACTTGAAGGCCGCCTCCTGCATATAAACGCTTTTGCATCATCAGGAGTATAGTCGGCACACTGTTCCCTCTATCATCATATGAACATTGCATCGACTCCGCAGACACTCCAAACACACTTGTGCTGTATCAAAATAGGACGTGGTTTAACTGTAAAGATTGTTTTTACTAAGAATAATAATGCATAAGCAAGAATCATCCAAAACTGTAAAGATTGTTTTACTAAGAAAACAATTCATAAGCAAGAATCATTCAAAACTGTAAAGATTGGTTTTTCTAAGAAGAAGAATTCGGTTGATGTAAGCAAGAATGATTCTGAACTGTAAAGCCTGTTGTTTTCTTCCTTTGCAAGTACTCGAAAAGCAAAGAATCAACAGGGCATTACATCTATTCTCTGCTTCTTTCTTGAAGCAATCATCTAAAATTCAATTAAGGCTTCATCAATAACACCAAACTCATTATTTCATAATAAAAAACTGCAAAAGTGACCCTACAAAGCAAATACTTTTAAAGAAAGAGCATCTCATTCCCTTTGCATACAAACAAACAATGAATTCCCTCAACCACTCCTCCGACAAAATCGACACTTGGATCTTCTTTAATCATAGCTAACATTTTGAATGACGCGTGATGAAGAGAAACTAACAACCCAATTCAAGAAACAGATGATTAGGGCAATACCCTACCCAGATTCAGAAAGTAATACCTTGCGCTGGGAGGCTTTGGGGGGACGTCAGGTTGAAGCTCAAGAGGCAATCCGAGGAAGCCATTAAAACGATCAAATGTTACATGAGAGACATGATGGACATCGGTGGGACAGCCAATATCCAAGGTGGAAGAGGAAGAGGAAGAGGAAGAGGAAGAGGAAACATCCTCGTTGAGAGTGCAAGTGACAAGAGACTTCAACAAGATGGCTAGAATTGTAAAATTAGGAGATTGTGGGGATGAACGATGGTCAGGGCTAATGAAAGGGGTAGTAATTGGGGTGTTGTGGAAGTAGGAATAGTCGTCGTGATACAAATAGTCAACGTCGTCTTCCTCTTCGTCTTCATCTTTATGTTCATCGGTGGGTTGAGGGGCTCCGCCGCATGATTTGGATCTAAAAAGCCTCGTCATTTATTTATGATTCAGAATAAAGATTAAGAATGGTGGAGAAGGGGTTGTATATATGAATGCAGATGGTGGTGTTAGAGATATGGAAAGTGACAACCAGATTACCTGTTTTATTTGTTTTTCTTTATATATACATATATGCAATGTGTGTGTGAGAGAGAAAAAGCAATCAATTTGAAGATTTGATATTATTTTTATAATAGATTTTGGGGAAACACATGAAAGAAAGAAAGAAAGAAAGAAAGAATAGAATGGTGGTAGACCTGTGACTCCGAACTCCGAAGGAAGGAGACAATATTTCTTTTCGTATGTTAATATATATATATATATATATATATATATATATATATATAGACTTAATCAAATAATAACTAATTAGTTTGTGGTAACCGTGAGGTATAATCTTAAACACAAATCAATTGATAAATTAGGAAATTTATAATTTTGGTAATTTTTAATTAAAATTTTAATGCAAAGGTATTTTAGGTATTTTATCTCCTCTCTCTTATCTCCACTCTTCTCTCTTCGTCCCCCGGCCTCCGACCACCATCCTCCGGCCACCGTCCTCCGGTGATACCATAATGGTATCACAATGCATCATATATGTGATTGGGTATCGTACTGTGGTCGTTTGTGCGGTCGATCGGATATGTAACACAGTGGTATCACAATGCATCTTATATGTGCTTGAGTATCACACTGTGGTATCACCGGAGGATAGTGGCCGGAGGCCGAAGGACGGTGGCCGGAAGACGGTGACGAAGAGAGAAGAGAGGAGAGAAAATACCTAAAATATCCTTGCATTAAAATTTTAATTAAAAATTACCAAATTATAAATTTCCTAATTTATCTATTCATTTGTGGCTGAGATTGGATCTCACGGTTACTACAAACTAACCAGTTCTCCCTTGAATGTCTCCCTATATATATATATTTGCACCCCTTCTTATTGGTAGAGTGCATCTCCTCCTATCTTTTAGATTAAAATCAATTAATAATTTTTTTTTTCAAAAATTTATTTCTTATAAGCTTATAACTTTTTTGAACATTATTTTTTAATTTTATTTTTCTAAATTTATGTTTTATAATAAATTTTTGTCGACTAATTATTTATAAATTAATTCAAGTGACTATAAAATTATTTTTAATTTTTAAATTTTATTGTTAACGTTTTAATTAATTAGTCAAAATAAATATTTAGAGCTATAAAGATAAAATAATTTAATATAAAAAAGATAATCAAAATAAGTTAATTAATAAATCAACAAATAAAGTACAAAAAATCTGAAAACATTACAACTCAATCAAGTGAAGTAAATTATGTAGTACGATTATTTGATAACAGTTGTCCGTACTTATTATTCGGGTCATATACGGAGTAGCCCATGCGGTTGCACAATCATATTTGAAACGAAACCAATTTGGCACAATAGAATGCATTGGGTGCCCTTATGCCAAAGATATTTTGACGTAATGATTATTGTTAACGTACCTAATTGTAAAAGCAACATGTTTATACCACGGCGGAGGACTAGATCGAAGTGGAAAAAATGTCAGACTACCTATACTTGTTAAAGAATGTAGTATCACATTGTATCTTAAAGCAAATCAGCAAGCCCGTTTCAAAAACATCCATCCGATGCTCATTTGGTGCAAATGAGTTCAACATAAAGAATTTCAAGAAGTTATAAAGTTGATCTGATGTCATAGTAAAATACATATCACTTCACTTAACTAATAATAAGTTCATTAACAATTTATAGAAGTCGAATTTTTTTCTTCCAATCACCTCTAAGGTTAGATTTTCAAATTTTATTTCTATATATTTTTGTTATGACAATATTATGTTTTATAAAAAAACATAATACGATTTAAACTAATTTATATTTGAAATTTTTAATAAAAAACGATGAGTTATTATCTGAATTTTTAGAGATTGTTGAAAACTAATGAAATTATTATTTAAATATTCAAAAACTTAAATAAGAACTTATTAGTTACTTTTTAAGTTTTAAAGTAGAAAAAAAAATGATGGATTATTTTCTGAATTTTTAAAGTTGCAGAAAGATTAATGATATATTCTATAAAATATATATAAAATGAAAAATAAGAATTTGCATACTAATTTTTAAAGTTTTTATTCGATTTTTACAAAGACAAACAATATGACTATATACATATGATTATAATTTGTAAATTATAAAACAAATGATATATTATTTTTTATAAATAGCAAGGCTTATTGTTTTTTTAATTTATTGGTTTTAAATTTGATTAATAAATAATACAAATAAAATTATAATTACTACAAACTAACAAATTATTATTATCTATTAACTAAAAAAACAAAACAAAAAGTAAGAGAAAGGAAAGGGACATAAGAAAGAGAAAAAATTTCAAACTTTTAGGCCAATTTAATGTTATTTATAGGTACTCTTTTGACTTTTTTAGTAGGCGTGGGTGCAAATAACAACCCCTTTTATATATCTTTAAAAATATTTTTTTATTAACCTGGATATCCAATCTACTATGCGAGCCGACTAATCCCAGAGAACCCGCTTTGTAGATATCCCGGAGTCACCGTATTTGAACCTCTGTGGCCACAAGAAGATTTTTATTCTTCATTGGATTTGAATCTGAGACATTCTGGTACTTTTGACCTTTGTAGTCAAGCTCAAATCAATCAGACACCACCCTTATAGTTCAAAATGTTCTGTTTCTTCTTAAACTTTATATTTTGGACAAAATGCATTAAAATATAACAAACTTTACTTTAAATCCTATTTAGTGTAACGAATTCTATTTTTTCTTAATTAATATATCAAAAAAAATTCTATTTTATACCTAGTTTACCTTTTAAACAAGTTATTAACTTACATATCATGAATTTATATTGGCATGCCATTTTCTAAAAAATCCAGGTCAATAAAGTTTAAACGTAAATTTTTTTAATGCTGAAATACAAGTATGACAAAATTTTAAATTAAAAAAACCTAACACATCATGTCATTCTCCCATTTCATCTTCAACCCCCATACTCCCTTTTCCAAAACTCCAACGACATCAAATTATCCTCATGAGAGATTTAAACTCCGACAAAATCTTGAGGACTCTACCCTCCTTCTTTGATGATGACCCACAACCACCACTATGATTTTCCATCTATATTGAAGTCGAACACCCACATCTGGTCTAAAAACCCATATTGTTTGTGTCTGATTGTATGGTCCTTGCATCTGCTTCTATGGAACATTTCGATTGATCATTGCTTCACTTCATCTAGTGATTTTTTTGATTTTGTTCTTCAAACTAACAATCAAATTTACGGGTTTTTTCGTTGTTGATTATTTCCTTCACAGTGGCGTGTGTGCGCGTGTGTGAAAGAGGGAGGTGTGGTCAGAGAAGAGAGGGTGACCCAGAAAGGAGGGCCCATAATGACTAGTTTAATTTAGGTTACATTTTGTTATCTTTGAACCTTTAAACATAGGGTATCAGAACTGTACAATAACAAAACTAAGAAACATGTGTACAAGTTCTAATAAATTAAAAGATGGAGTCTCCCTTGTCCCTTCCAATGTCATATTGTACGCCATGTCATGACTTTTATGCATCCCTTTCTTTCCCTCTATCAATTTGCTAGTCTTGTAGTTCATAGCTTTTAATTTTCCAAACTGATCTCTTCTAAACTTCGGCACAATCATCCCACAGGTGCCCCACTGATCCATACCTAATGCAAGTCATATCCCTTATGTAATCTCGGACCATATAACCCGTGCTACCATATTAGTAACATGTTGTTCACTTACTTTAGTGTTGATTGTTTCACTTCTGTTTGCAGAACCTTTGAACCCTCTATTCGAGGATCAACATTTGTTGTCGTAAAGATTTTGAGTATGTCAAGCCCCTTGCTTGAATTGCCTCATGTCCCCTTCATATTCTTCCTCCCTTCCATAGGCTTGTAGTTGTTTTTTTCTATTACTTTGCCCACATTTATAACATATACAAATGATGATCAAATAATCATGACTACATATTATTTGATGTCTAACTTCAGACCACATATTGTTGGTCTATATTGACATCTATGTGAATTGATTTACATATTCTCATAATTTCTTCTTACCTCTCATTCCATGTTCGATCAATGTCATATGACGATATACATTACTTTTTATTAATCATTGTTGCTGTGATTATTGAAATGACTACCCATCTTCGTGGTCCAGATGTGCGTCCTCTTAGCTCCTAGAGCTATGTTGACTGATCCTCATAATTCATATAAAAATAGGGATAAATGACATTTTCATAGTAAGTTTATAAATATAGAACTTACTTTAAGTATCAATATCATTAGTATTAATAATAATTAATTCAATTGTTAACCTACTATATCTTCTCCACCCTAATATCATCACCTCTTCCCATCACGGAAATATTTGGTGTCTAATTAGTCCTTATATAATCTGGACATCGATACCAAGTCTGACGAGTTTGTGGTTATTCCCGGTACCACTCCCTCAATGTCTCTAGTACCATGTTCTCTAATCAAGTCTGACGAGTTTGTGTTTCTATGGAACTCCCATCCGTGCCATAGTCTCACGCCCAAAGGTCAAATATCAATTACCACACCCCTCTTATAATGACCAATTAGATTGGTGACTTGTCTCCAACTCATACCCATCACATATAGTATATGACTCTTCGTTATCAAATAGATCTCTTTTCATCACAAATAAATTCCCAACGTATATTTAATCATATTGAGTATCTTGACAGATGTTGTCTCTAAGAACCATGACCCTTTTAATACCTTTAATTGACACCGGTCTCATGCTAGTTTCTAAATTACTTGTCTCTCCCCACGAGCACCATCATAATTATAGATGTCTCATGTCAATCTCACAGGTGATCCATTTCCTAAACCAATGTTTCCCATACCCATAACCACATATGTTGAGCACCACCTCAACTAACTTAATCTCTAGTCTTTTGACAATTCACTAGTCCATATGATAATTCCTCATCTGACCATACCTTACATAAATCATCTACTCCCATCCCATTTCCTAAAAAAAATACAATAACTTAAT